AGGACGGCCTCGCTTTGCTCAGGGGTCAAAGTTCGACGCGATGCTCGCAGGTACGACTCCATCACCTGTTTGCCTTCATCACGAGACAGACGCTCCACCTCGAAGAAGCTCGCCGAAGACTCCAACTTCAGCGTGATGTTAGCAAACGCCTCGCTGCTGGTATCCATGGAAACCACCAGGTGAACGTTGGGCGGGAGCTGATTGGGCAGCCAGTAGAGTTTGTGAGCGTGATGTTTGTCTGACAGCTGATCCAGAGCGTCCAGGATGACGAGCACGGTGTGGCCCTGCTGGGAGACGTTGGCGAGGGCGTTCCTGAAGAACCGCAGCAGCTCCGGGTGAGTGTTGGCGGTCAGCGGCGAGGGCGGAGCCAAACCACAAGCAAAGGAAATCTGAAGGCAGACGCTGAGGAGGACGTGGTCGATATCTGCTCTCTGAGGATGACCAGCCGCCAGCAGCCTGATCGCCACCACCGCCCCGCCCTCCAGGACGCCACGCATCTCCTGCGCCAGCTTACACAGCAGCGCCGTCTTCCCCATCCCAGCAGCCCCGTGGACCACGATTGGGCTGTGAGGGGCGTTCGTGGACTCCCACATGGCGAAGCAGAGTCTGCCCAGAAGCCCCTCCCTGCCGTGGAGACCTCTGCACAGCTCGCCGCTCATGGCGAAATGCCGTTCGACCTCTTGGACCACCCACTCTGACACCTCCCCCTTTCGCCCCTCAGTGTCACTCCAAACCCTCCTCGCCCCCGCCTCCACCGACGACTCCACCGCCACGCCGATCCTCGCCTTCATCTGAGAGACGAACTGCTCGCACACGCCGTCCAGGTACTGAGCGTGCTCCTTCCGTTTGGGGTCGATGCTTCCTTTGCTGAGCTCCACGCAGTGAAGGTTGAGGATCTTCTGTGAGGTGGCGTAGAGGCGGGCCTTCAGAGCGCCGAGGAGTCCCTGAGCTTCTGCGTCCAGTAGACCGTCAGCGGTCAGGTCCATGTACTTGGCGAGACGTTTGGGACCGTCTCTTACTCGTTGGCGAGGAATCTCTCTGATGAAGAGCAGCGCCGACTGATCCGTGACGTCCTCCAACAAACCGCGCTCAAACTCTCGCTCTGTGACTGTGGAGCAGAAGAAGACGCTCAGATCAAACACTTCACAGAAACCACGTCTGAGCACTGAGCGCGCTCGTCTCTGACCTGATGTGAGGAAGCGCTGTTTCTGCGCCGCCGTGATGTCACCAGCTGCCTCGGCATCCGTGGCGGCCGAGCGTAGGAGCCGCAACAGTTGAGTCTCTGTAAAACGCCAGGAGAGGACGTCTTTGTCACGCTGCGGCCCACTCTCAGGTCGGAGGTCGCTGTAGTGGGGGTAGAAGGCCGTGATTGGCTGAAGGATGTAGGTGGGCGGGACTGCATTGTTGTCCTTCAAGAACCACCGAGTCAGCAGTTTGACGCCTTCAGGGTTTTTGGACATTTTGGACAAAAAAACTTCAAACAGTTTTTCAGGAACGAGCCGAGGGAGAAATCTGTGACCGTACCGGTTCCCCAGGAGAGCCTTCGGAGCCGGGAAGGAGAAGGAGGAGGAGGAGGAGAGGGAGGAGAAGGAGGAGAAGGAGGAGAAGGATGAGAAGGAGGAGAAGAAGAAGAAGGAGAGGAAGAAGAAGAAGGAGGAGAAGGAGGAGGAGGAGGAGGAGAAGGAGGAGAAGGAGAAGAAGGAGAAGAGGGAGGAGAGGGAGGAGAAGAAGGAGAAGGAGGAGGAGAAGAAGAAGAAGGAGGAGAAGAAGGAGGAGAAGGAGGAGGAGAAGGAGAAGAGGGAGGAGAGGGAGAAGAAGAAGAAGAAGAAGAAGAAGAGGAAGGAGGAGGAGAAGAAGGAGAAGAGGAAGAAGAAGAGGAAGGAGGAGGAGAAGATGAAGGAGGAGAAGAAGGAGGAGAAGGAGAAGAAGAAGGAAAAGGAGGAGAAGGAGAAGAAGGAGGAGAAGAAGAAGGAGAAGAAGGAGAAGAAGATGAAGGAGAAGAAGGAGGAGAAGAAGAAGGAGAAGGAGAAGGAGGAGGAGAAGAAGGAGGAGGAGAAGAAGAAGAAGAGGAAGGAGGAGGAGAAGAAGAAGGAGGAGAAGGAGAAGGAGAAGAAGAAGGAGGAGAAGGAGAAGAAGAAGGAGAAGGAGAAGGAGGAGAAGAAGAAGGAGGAGAAGAAGGAGAAGAAGGAGAAGAAGATGAAGGAGAAGGAGGAGGAGGAGAAGAAGAAGGAGGAGAAGAAGGAGAAGAAGGAGAAGGAGAAGAAGAAGGAGGAGAAGGAGAAGAAGAAGGAGAAGGAGAAGGAGGAGGAGAAGGAGGAGGAGGAGAAGAAGTAGGAGGAGAAGGGGAAGAGGGAGGAGAGGGAGGAGAAGAAGGAGGAGAAGAAGGAGAAGGAGGAGGAGGAGAAGAAGAAGAAGAGGAAGGAGGAGGAGAAGAAGAAGGAGAAGGAGAAGGAGGAGGAGAAGGAGGAGGAGGAGAAGAAGAAGAAGAGGAAGGAGGAGGAGAAGAAGAAGGAGGAGAAGGAGAAGGAGAAGAAGAAGGAGGAGAAGGAGAAGAAGAAGGAGAAGGAGAAGGAGGAGAAGAAGAAGGAGGAGAAGAAGGAGAAGAAGGAGAAGAAGATGAAGGAGAAGGAGGAGGAGGAGAAGAAGAAGGAGGAGAAGAAGGAGAAGAAGGAGAAGGAGAAGAAGAAGGAGGAGAAGGAGAAGAAGAAGGAGAAGGAGGAGGAGAAGGAGGAGGAGGAGAAGAAGTAGGAGGAGAAGGGGAAGAGGGAGGAGAGGGAAGAGAAGAAGGAGGAGAAGAAGGAGAAGGAGGAGGAGGAGAAGAAGAAGAAGAGGAAGGAGGAGGAGAAGAAGAAGGAGGAGAAGGAGAAGGAGAAGAAGAAGAAGAAGAGGAAGGAGGAGGAGAAGATGAAGGAGGAGAAGAAGGAGAAGGAGGAGGAGGAGAAGGAGAAGAAGGAGAAGAAGAAGAAGAAGGAGAAGAAGAAGATGAAGAAGAAGGAGAAGAGGAAGGAGGAGAGGACGGAGGAGAAGAATGAGAAGGAGAAGGAGGAGAAGGAGGAGGAGAAGATGAAGATGAAGGAGGAGGAGAAGAAGAAGGAGGAGAAGAAGAAGGAGGAGAAGAAGAAGAAGGAGAAGGAAGGAGAAGAAGGAGAAGAAGAAGAAGAAGGAGGAGAAGAAGGAGAAGAAGAAGATGAAGAAGGAGGAGAATGAGAAGAAGAAGGAGGAGAGGGAGGAGAAGAAGGAGGAGGAGAAGAAGAAGAAGGAGGAGAAGAAGGAGGAGAAGGAGAAGAAGAAGGAGGAGAAGGAGAAGAAGGAGAAGTAGGAGGAGGAGAAGAAGAAGAAGAAGGAGAAGGAGGAGAAGAAGAAGAAGAGGAAGAAGTAGGAGAAGGAGAAGGAGAAGGAGGAGAAGGAGAAGAAGGAGAAGAAGGAGGAGAAGGAGAAGAAGAAGGAGGAGAAGGAGAAGAAGGAGAAGTAGGAGGAGGAGAAGAAGAAGAAGAAGGAGAAGAAGAAGAAGAAGGAGGAGAAGAAGAAGGAGGAGAAGGAGAAGGAGAAGAAGAAGGAGGAGGAGAAGGAGAAGGAGAAGAAGAAGATGAAGAAGAAGGAGGAGAAGAAGAAGGAGGAGAAGAAGAAGAAGGAGAAGGAAGGAGAAGAAGGAGAAGAAGAAGAAGAAGGAGGAGAAGAAGGAGAAGAAGAAGATGAAGAAGGAGGAGAATGAGAAGAAGAAGGAGGAGAAGAAGGAGAAGAAGGAGGAGAAGAAGGAGAAGAAGAAGAAGGAGGAGAAGAAGAAGAAGGAGGAGAAGAAGGAGGAGAAGGAGAAGAAGAAGGAGGAGAAGGAGAAGAAGGAGAAGAAGGAGAAGTAGGAGGAGGAGAAGAAGGAGAAGAAGAAGGAGGAGAAGGATAAGAAGAAGAAGGAGGAGGAGAAGAAGAAAGAGGAGAAGAAGAAGAAGGAGAAGGAGAAGAATGAGAAGGAGAAGAAGAAGAAGAAGAAGGAGAAGATGAAGGAGAAGAAGAAGAAGGAGAAGAAGAAGGAGAAGAAGGAGGAGAAGAAGGAGGAGGAGAAGGAGGAGGAGAAGTAGAAGGAGGAGAAGAAGGAGAAGAAGGAGGAGAAGAAGAAGGAGGAGGAGAAGAAGGAGAAGAAGAGGAAGAAGAAGGAGAAGAAGAAGGAGAAGGAGAAGAAGAAGGAGAAGGAGAAGGAGGAGGAGAAGGAGAAAGAGGAGGAGAAGAAGAAGAAGAGGAAGGAGGAGGAGAAGAAGAAGGAGGAGAAGGAGAAGGAGAAGAAGAAGGAGGAGAAGGAGAAGAAGAAGGAGAAGGAGAAGGAGGAGAAGAAGAAGGAGGAGAAGAAGGAGAAGAAGGAGAAGAAGATGAAGGAGAAGGAGGAGGAGGAGAAGAAGAAGGAGGAGAAGAAGGAGAAGAAGGAGAAGGAGAAGAAGAAGGAGGAGAAGGAGAAGAAGAAGGAGAAGGAGAAGGAGGAGGAGAAGGAGGAGGAGGAGAAGAAGTAGGAGGAGAAGGGGAAGAGGGAGGAGAGGGAGGAGAAGAAGGAGGAGAAGAAGGAGAAGGAGGAGGAGGAGAAGAAGAAGAAGAGGAAGGAGGAGGAGAAGAAGAAGGAGGAGAAGGAGAAGATGAAGGAGAAGAAGAAGAAGAGGAAGGAGGAGGAGAAGAAGAAGGAGGAGAAGGAGAAGGAGAAGAAGAAGGAGGAGAAGGAGAAGAAGAAGGAGAAGGAGAAGGAGGAGAAGTAGAAGTAGGAGAAGAAGGAGAAGAAGGAGAAGAAGATGAAGGAGAAGGAGGAGGAGGAGAAGAAGAAGGAGGAGAAGAAGGAGAAGAAGGAGAAGGAGAAGAAGAAGGAGGAGAAGGAGAAGAAGAAGGAGAAGGAGAAGGAGGAGGAGAAGGAGGAGGAGGAGAAGAAGTAGGAGGAGAAGGGGAAGAGGGAGGAGAGGGAGGAGAAGAAGGAGGAGAAGAAGGAGAAGGAGGAGGAGGAGAAGAAGAAGAAGAGGAAGGAGGAGGAGAAGAAGAAGGAGGAGAAGGAGAAGGAGAAGAAGAAGAAGAAGAGGAAGGAGGAGGAGAAGATGAAGGAGGAGAAGAAGGAGAAGGAGGAGGAGGAGAAGGAGAAGAAGGAGAAGAAGAAGAAGAAGGAGGAGAAGGAGAAGAAGAAGGAGGAGAAGGAGAAGAAGGAGAAGAAGAAGAAGAAGGAGAAGAAGAAGATGAAGAAGAAGGAGAAGAGGAAGGAGGAGAGGACGGAGGAGAAGAATGAGAAGGAGAAGGAGGAGAAGGAGGAGGAGAAGATGAAGATGAAGGAGGAGGAGAAGAAGAAGGAGGAGAAGGATAAGAAGAAGAAGGAGGAGGAGAAGAAGAAAGAGGAGAAGAAGAAGAAGGAGAAGGAGAAGAATGAGAAGGAGAAGAAGAAGAAGAAGAAGGAGAAGATGAAGGAGAAGAAGAAGAAGGAGAAGAAGAAGGAGAAGAAGGAGGAGGAGAAGAAGAAGGAGAAGAAGGAGGAGAAGAAGGAGGAGGAGAAGGAGGAGGAGAAGTAGAAGGAGGAGAAGAAGGAGAAGAAGGAGGAGAAGAAGAAGGAGGAGGAGAAGAAGGAGAAGAAGAGGAAGAAGAAGGAGAAGAAGAAGGAGAAGGAGAAGAAGAAGGAGAAGGAGAAGGAGGAGGAGAAGGAGAAGGAGGAGGAGAAGAAGAAGAAGAGGAAGGAGGAGGAGAAGAAGAAGGAGGAGAAGGAGAAGGAGAAGAAGAAGGAGGAGAAGGAGAAGAAGAAGGAGAAGGAGAAGGAGGAGAAGAAGAAGGAGGAGAAGAAGGAGAAGAAGGAGAAGAAGATGAAGGAGAAGGAGGAGGAGGAGAAGAAGAAGGAGGAGAAGAAGGAGAAGAAGGAGAAGGAGAAGAAGAAGGAGGAGAAGGAGAAGAAGAAGGAGAAGGAGAAGGAGGAGGAGAAGGAGGAGGAGGAGAAGAAGTAGGAGGAGAAGGGGAAGAGGGAGGAGAGGGAGGAGAAGAAGGAGGAGAAGAAGGAGAAGGAGGAGGAGGAGAAGAAGAAGAAGAGGAAGGAGGAGGAGAAGAAGAAGGAGGAGAAGGAGAAGGAGAAGAAGAAGAAGAAGAGGAAGGAGGAGGAGAAGATGAAGGAGGAGAAGAAGGAGAAGGAGGAGGAGGAGAAGGAGAAGAAGGAGAAGAAGAAGAAGAAGGAGAAGAAGAAGATGAAGAAGAAGGAGAAGAGGAAGGAGGAGAGGACGGAGGAGAAGAATGAGAAGGAGAAGGAGGAGAAGGAGGAGGAGAAGATGAAGATGAAGGAGGAGGAGAAGAAGAAGGAGGAGAAGAAGAAGGAGGAGAAGAAGAAGAAGGAGAAGGAAGGAGAAGAAGGAGAAGAAGAAGAAGAAGGAGGAGAAGAAGGAGAAGAAGAAGATGAAGAAGGAGGAGAATGAGAAGAAGAAGGAGGAGAGGGAGGAGAAGAAGGAGAAGGAGAAGAAGAAGAAGGAGGAGAAGAAGGAGGAGAAGGAGAAGAAGAAGGAGGAGAAGGAGAAGAAGGAGAAGTAGGAGGAGGAGAAGAAGAAGAAGAAGGAGAAGGAGGAGAAGAAGAAGAAGAGGAAGAAGTAGGAGAAGGAGAAGGAGAAGGAGGAGAAGGAGAAGAAGGAGAAGAAGGAGGAGAAGGAGAAGAAGAAGGAGGAGAAGGAGAAGAAGGAGAAGAAGGAGAAGTAGGAGGAGGAGAAGAAGAAGAAGAAGGAGAAGGAGGAGGAGAAGGAGGAGGAGGAGAAGAAGTAGGAGGAGAAGGGGAAGAGGGAGGAGAGGGAGGAGAAGAAGGAGGAGAAGAAGGAGAAGGAGGAGGAGGAGAAGAAGAAGAAGAGGAAGGAGGAGGAGAAGAAGAAGGAGGAGAAGGAGAAGGAGAAGAAGAAGAAGAAGAGGAAGGAGGAGGAGAAGATGAAGGAGGAGAAGAAGGAGAAGGAGGAGGAGGAGAAGGAGAAGAAGGAGAAGAAGAAGAAGAAGGAGAAGAAGAAGATGAAGAAGAAGGAGAAGAGGAAGGAGGAGAGGACGGAGGAGAAGAATGAGAAGGAGAAGGAGGAGAAGGAGGAGGAGAAGATGAAGATGAAGGAGGAGGAGAAGAAGAAGGAGGAGAAGAAGAAGGAGGAGAAGAAGAAGAAGGAGAAGGAAGGAGAAGAAGGAGAAGAAGAAGAAGAAGGAGGAGAAGAAGGAGAAGAAGAAGATGAAGAAGGAGGAGAATGAGAAGAAGAAGGAGGAGAAGGAGGAGAAGAAGGAGAAGAAGAAGAAGGAGGAGAAGAAGAAGAAGGAGGAGAAGAAGGAGGAGAAGGAGAAGAAGAAGGAGGAGAAGGAGAAGAAGGAGAAGAAGAAGAAGAAGGAGAAGAAGAAGATGAAGAAGAAGGAGAAGAGGAAGGAGGAGAGGACGGAGGAGAAGAATGAGAAGGAGAAGGAGGAGAAGGAGGAGGAGAAGATGAAGATGAAGGAGGAGGAGAAGAAGAAGGAGGAGAAGGATAAGAAGAAGAAGGAGGAGGAGAAGAAGAAAGA